TGGGATTTATACTTGGAATGCAAGGATGGCTTATTATTTAGACATGTATTGATATAACATATTAACAAAATGAAGGACAGAAACTACATATGACTACTCAATAAAAAATGACAATACGAAAGTATTTGGGAGCGCTTATCTAATCCCTAAAAAATTTTAGTTACCTCTTCAGAGGGGGTGTTAGAGTATCCAAAAGCCCCATTAAAAAAAATTAAAGAAGAAGAAAGAGTACATGAAGTTTTCAGAAAAAAAAAAAGTGATGGGGAGATACGGGAGGAGTTGGAGGGGAGGGAGTGGGCATGGATTTGATCAAAACACCATATATGTGTTACAGGACAGAGTTCACACACAAAAAAAAAATCACCAACACCATTTTAAGAAAAGTAGCAAGTTAAATTTTATTTTTCAACCAGCCAGGCTGTCTATCTCGGGAGTAGAAGCAGCCCTGATGATTGTCAGGTCAGAGTTTTTATAGGATTACAGAAATATTCAAACAGGACACTTGTGAACCAATCAGGTTTGTACAGCATAGCGGAACTTTGGCTCTATTAATCAATAGCCAATCATACAGACAAGTGATACAGTCATATAACTTGGCACTCAACTTTGTAATTTTAAAATTAGTCAACTTCCTAGCCATAACAAGTATAATAAAAAAGCTGAAATCAGCAGTTACCAGGTGGTCATACAATAACAGGGTGGTCTTATACTTTGTGTCAAGGTGACCTAAAATAGCAAGCGAGTTACAGAAGCGAAAACAAGCAGTTAGCCAGATGTAAAATGTCTGGAATTAGCACATTCCATGGTTCATGGTGAAAGAGTGCCCCTCAGACCCCCTCCCTATCCTCTGAGAAAAAGATACCCTCCACCTGACTCTGGAAATACCCTTCATTGTTCAAACCCTTTCCTGGTACCTGTTTATGATTTCTATGGAAATGGTCTGGGGCAGAAGAGAAAGAACATTCTGCCCCAGGTAAGACAGCCAATAGCTGTATAGGCAAAGTCTCTGGAAATCAGCCCTAGGTTGTTCCAATCCTTTCTTGGTTATTCTGTGTATAGTTTCTATGGACATCCCCTGCTTTGTGGTTTTTGTGGGTTTTCTGCTTAAAAGCCTTGCATTTTCACTATTCTAGGTCGCAGTACAGCTCCCAAGACTGTCTGTGTCCCCAACCAGTTGGCTCCAATAAAACGCTCCATTTCACTGAGACTCAATGTCAGAGTGGTCAATTTAGGGAATTTTTCAGACCCTGAACATTTTGGGGGACACTGTCTGGGATTCCCTGAAAACCCTCAGTCTGTTTTCCTGTCTTTTTCTGACCTCCATCTGGCACCTGGAGACTTCAGTTCTGATTCCTCCCATGATGAGTCTGTTTTGGTTTCTGTTTTGAGTGTCCAGTTTCTGGGGGCTCAAAGGAGGGAAACTGGATGCAATATTGCTCTCCAAGCCAGAGGACGGAGGATGCCCTGACCCTACATCTGGTTGGTTGACTGTCTGTGCCCTCTGAGCATTTAGCATCCACCCTAGTCTCTCCCACAGCGACCTTCAAACACACAGTGATTCCCCAATGTGCAGTGCTTTTGTTCTGTGTCATCCTGGTCTTAAGTCTTTGTTTCCTGTCTCTTTAGTTCTTTTTGGTCTTTGTTTCAGGTTAATCCTCTTTCTTTCCATCATGGGTCAGACTCCATCATCTGAAGATACTCCCCTTGACTTAATTCTTTGTCATTTTAAAGATTTTCAAAAAGCAGCTGCAATCTCTGGAGATACTGTTTATTCGGGAAAATTCCGGACCCTCTGTTCTCTTGAATGGCCATCCTTTGATGCAGGATGGCCCTCTACTGGTTCCTTTGAGATTAACAAGCTTTCTTCTCTTCAGGCCATGATTTTTGGAAGCCCAGGACATCCTGATCAGGTCCCTTATGTTATGGTTTACTTTTACCTTTTGGATAAACTCCCCCCAAATGGTTGAGACCCTGTTTATGTCTATCTACCTCAAAACCCTCTGTCTCTGGGTCCTCGACAGACTCCTTCCTGGTCTCACCCACCTCCTGTCCTCCCCTCTTCAACTGAGGACCCTCTCTTGGGTCCTCCTCCTTATTCACAGTCTCCAACCGCACCCACTTCTTCCACAGCTTCTCCTCCTCCCCCAGCTTCTCCTCCTTCCCCAGCCTCTCTTCCCTCTCCAACCATCCCTCCACTCTTC